CCAAAAAACATGGTTACAAAAGCAATATGTACACTGTAAATGGCATTTATTTTATTTCTTAAAGGATGTGTGTGTAGCCAGGATGTATCCCTGTAAAAAGGACACTCATTTCTAGACAATGAACACTGGTGCCACCCTGGCATGTCAAAAATGCCTGACTCATTTCCTCCTGATGGACCCTCCCCTCAGCAATATGCCTAGGGGGTGGGCGTGAAGGGAGGGCTCCCCCCAGGGGGAGAAGTACTTCATCACTGACATTGTTTAAAATTCCCAGTGCCTCGTGATAACTAAGATGCAGACCATGTTTAGGGTTCTGCCCTTGTTTTTAAATTCTCTAAGGACAGGGATTCAGGGCCACCCCCATCTTGGTTTGCCACTGCTCCCCTCATCTCCCATTCCCATGGAATTTGTCATCTCTGGCACGTACACACTACGCAAAGTGCCAGACATAAGTAATGCCAGCATGAAGATGAAGAATGCAAGATCTGAATGCTCTTCACCACTTCTTGGTGAGAGAGAACCGTTCATGAACTCTAGTGCCACCCACCACATGACCACTGGAAACGTAAGTCCTTGTCGTCATCTGGCCAGCCCAGGGTCACTGTCGTGAAAGGATCCACGTACAGACCAGGTTCAACGTACACCTCCACGTCGTCTTTGTCTCCCTGCAGAAAAAGCAGCTGCTGGTGAGACAGCCCTCCACACCTAGCTCAGCCTCACTGCCAGCTGCTGTTGGCACCCCACCCCCACCCCAGGGCCATCTGTGCCAAGACTGGCCATGGTGCAAGGCAGGGAACAAGTGCCCTGGCTGATCTGCCCGGCTTCCCCTCAGGGGGCATGGGGGCCATTGCTGAGGATCACCAGGCAAGTAACTTTACTGCAAGTGTAGACTCAGGGTCCACTCTGCATTTAACTATGTTAACAGAGGCCACTCTGGGCCAGGCCCTGTGCTTGATGCCTAGAGATACCGGAATAAGGAGACTCAGCCCCTGTCCGTAAGTCTGGTAGGGAACAGGCACGTAAAAGGACAATTAAAACACAGAGGGATAATTGTGTTCCAGTAACGGGAGCCTGGGGAATTAAGAGAACGTGGGAGAGGAAGGCCACGGGTTAAGAATGGAGGCCTTGGGGCTAGCCAAATCTCAGACCAGCTCATCAGGCCTGTGGCCGCCAGCCAGTTTCTAAGTCTCTAAACTTCTCTGTTCCTCCCAGGGTTTGACAGCATCTGACTCCAGGGGTTGCCGGATTCAATCTGCTTAACACTATGTCCAGCATGCAGGAAAGTTGCAGAACTGTTACCTTTATAAACCAGACAGCAGGAGTCAGGGGAAGCTTCCCCAGACACCAGGCTCCCAGGACTATCTCAAAGGCAGAGGAGGAAGATTAAGCTGTGCAGCAATGGAGAGCATGTAGGTTCTAGAAGAGGGATTGGCAGGGCCCAGGTTGTGTTCCTGCAGTAAATTCTGGTGGGACCTGTTCAACAGCTTAGGCTGCGAGCCTCTTGCTCAAGCCTGGAGGGCTTACCTGGAATAGCACGAGGCTCCAATGGAACTCAGCCTCCCATGGCCTCCCATGGCCTCCCATGGCCTCCCATGGCCTCCCATGGCCTGAGAATAAAATCCAAACTCCTTGCCTTGGCACCTAAG